ACTCTGGGCATTGCCAACATTGCTACTACCAAAACGAAACCAACTTCAGCAGAGATAGCCGATGAGTTAAGCAATCAATCAGTGTTACCAATGACCCCCACTACTGATCAATGGGATCACCTAAACCTACAAACCCTGCCTACTCTTTCTTTAACCCACTGCTAAATTATAAAGATTTTGACCTTGTGATATTAAAATGAGATCTATCCTTCAGCTACGGTCATGACTTTAGGTAATAACTTGGCGAAATAAAAATTGCTCAGCCATGAAAATGGGGTGACAACCTTCAGCAGAGGGCTCAAAATAAGGTTGCTGCTTAATGAGAAGCCTTTTGAGGTTAGACAAAATATACGGCTAGGACAAAGAAAGAGGGGCTGTGAGATGCACAGGGCGAATGATTCACATCCTTCCATGGCTCAGAAACGCCCTCATAATCTTGAAGAGTAGTTGGTGGAAGAAGCTGGTACTGACGATCTACTCTGCTAAAAAAATCTGTGCAACAACCTTAATAAAAAAAATACATATCTCAAAAGAAGCTGAACACTAACTAATAATAATTTCATGCAGGTGTCATCAGGTGGTGCTGATCTGACTTTATTCAGGTTCACTGTGTATTTGATTTTAAATTCAGAGCACCACACATGACAAAAGTCATGCGAGTAAGTGAAACAAGTGTTTTCCAAAGATTTCTACAGCATTTCACAAAATTAATAGTATATACGTGCGAGGGCTGTCAATTACTACAACTCTTTCAACCAATTAATGCCAGTGCTGTAGATTAATCATGATTATGTAATCATAAAGTGGAAGCTTCTGCTGGATAAAACAGTATTTAAGGTGCCACAGTGGCAACAATAAGTCAATTAAATCATGATAAACAAAATGTTAAATCATGAACAAAAAACCTCTCTGTGATACAGACAATATTCCATTTTATCCAAGTTAGTGCAGCTGGTACATATTGCATCCTTATTTCCATGAAATATGGTAATCAATAATGGCCTGTCACAAATATCATCGCCTATCACCAAAACAGGGAAACCTTTACATTGTAACTAACATCTCTTGCCTCTCTCTCTCTCTTGCTCTCTCTCTGAACATACAAAGAGTTGCTGCTAACTCATCTGCCTCTAGTCCAGCTTTATACACCACTGAAAACTGAAAAGTGTTATTTGGGATCAACTGAATGATCAGACCATTTCCATCAACTGATTTCAATTACCAAAAATATAATTGATGGTTTCACAAACATAGTTGTTCCACTTGTGGAGAACACGGAATTCAGATACGATGGGGAATATCACGGTGAGTGGACAAAGAAATGCAGAGCCAAGAACTGCCCAAAGTAGGTTTTGGAATACATAGGAAAAACCCTTAGCTATTTCAAATTTGTATTCCTCTTCAGTTCCGTGCATGAACCTATGTGTCTGTACCCTTTCTCCAGCTTAATTAATAGGCTTTGGATTGGAGCTACAGCTAAAATACCTGCAGTTTGTTCAACATGACAGGAAGGGCCAGGCTGCAGGCTGAGCCAAAGAGCCACTGCCAGGGAGAGAAAGATAAGGCTGAAAAGTGAAAGGGGAAAGTGCAGTCATTCACTAGGACTCTGATCCCGACATAAAGCTGCCAAGTATTTACTCAGTGAGGTCATTTCCTTTAAGAGGGCAGAAGAGCAGCTTATTTGACTTTCGATGAAGAGGTCAGATCCAATCAAACACTGATCATTTCATCTTAGTGGTTTACAGTCCTTAACTACTGTGTTCATTTAAATATCAATTGGTGGATGTGTACAAATCACATTTTTTGCAGGAAAAAAATGTTACACAATTTGAAATATTATAGAGAACAACAAGGATTGCTTGGTGTGATGCTGCAGCCACCTACTACTTTTTCTACTTCATAATCACTACACTGTTCTTTTTATTTGATAAAACTTTCTCCTAAAGGGGACTTGTTAGGCTTCTTTAAATCTCTTCTTTGAGGGTAAGACCTGAGGAGGCCTTCCAATGATGATGTAGAACAGAGAGCTGCTGGTAAAACACTTGGTTGTGCATGTTGCAGAACCAGCGTATGGTGAATTCAGCAGGTATGGTAATCTGACACGCACTGATATTAGACAACAAATTGCAATTAAACAATATATGTTTGAGGCAGAGTCCTACCCATAACAAGAAGAAGCTCCACAAGAAAGTAGTTAAGTTTACTACTTTCACATTACTTATGTGATAATACTGTAATATTCTGTTCTAATGTTACTGGTTGGCACAACAAGAGTTCTATGGTTATGATGTCATATTCTAGCCAGCATTTACTGGCTGATGCACCTTCAGTTAAGGTTTACTGTATGCACAATGTAGGTCAGGATACGCAAAGTTGTAGGGACCCAATAGCTGTCACACCCATGTTGTTACAGGTAACAATGCTCTCGTGATGTCATTTACGTATTTAGACACTAAAGCTCTGGTTTATTGAACAATGACAAAACCTAGGTTCGTGTTAAAAGTAGTTGATTTGCAAGAATGTGCATGGTTTTGAACTGTTCGCTGTTACTACTTACAAGTGTAACCCCAATATTCAAACTGACCACCAGCAATTTTCTACTAGCAACCGTGGTTTTTAATGAGCCACAAAGTAGTTGTCATCCAAGTATGAAGAGCCGAACATCCAACGGAGAACTTTTGAGACACATTTCCAAATTCAGGCAGAATATTGAAAAAACATCTACTCAGTTGCCAGAATCTTGCATTTAAATTAATAAAGTAGGCCGATCCCCCAGGGATGCAAGTGTGTGTTAAAACATTGACAAAGTCAATATTCCATAACATGTCCCCACTGAGGAGCTGTTTCATTTAAAAGTCAACACAAAAGTCAACAATGCAAATTATATTTTTTGTGTTTGTTGCTATGCCACAATAGCAGAGGACATGATTCATTGTTTACCAAATATGAGGGTGGTGACGTTATTAAGGCACTTCAACTATGCATGTTTTCACTCTACCTGCAAAAAAAAAAGCACATTTCTGAGCCCTTACTGTGCAGCTGTATGTTTGAATCACACAGAGAGAAGCAAATCTTCTTGTACCAGTGACAGCACATAAGTTGCTAAAAATGGAAAACTGCAGGCTGCTCTCTCCTACGCATGCTTCCCACTCAACTTTTGTCTCAAACACTCATCACCTCTCTCCTTCTCTGGCTTCCATGAGGGAAGTAAACACCACCAGTCTTTGCACAAATATATCCTGCAGAAGGTTTCAAAGAAAAGGTGAACTGGACAGGGAAAGCCTTAAGCAGCATAAAGAGAGAGCCGGAAAGAAGATGGACGGGGGCCTCAAGCAAAATGGGGCCCATTAAAAGGGGTGAGGTGATGCTTTTGGGGATAGAACTGACAGCATGTTTGCCCTTTGTCACATCCAGTTAGGGGGCCCAGAAATTAAACGTCCACCACTCAACCAGACATAACTCCACTACGATATTAAACAGGCTGTAAACTGTTTGTAGGAGGTTGTCCAAAACAATGTAGGATTCTTTTGAGTACCTTGTTTACATTTGGGTTATTACGAAATCTCAGAAACATTTGTCCAACTACTCAGCCCAAGTACGTTTCAGTGACCACAACACAAGCAGTTCGGGACCAGACATTTAAGGATTGTTCTTGTTATCTGTACCTAACATCTGCAAACAAGAGTTAAAAGTGTGGTAGAACACATCATTCTTAACAGTTTTGTTAACATGTCTTAATGATTGTCCATGTCCTCCATCATTCATACACTACCAAGGATTTCAAGTGAAAAACACCAAACATTAAACAACAAAAAACAAAACAAAAACAAACAAAAAAAAACAAGAAAAATAGAGTGCATTTATCTCATGTGGAATTCCATCTTAGTGATGCAATGACAATTAGCTAACATACAGTGATGCCCGTTGTCAATACAGTTCCCTATTAATAGATGTGTGATTAATTAACAGTACATTTCAGTTTAGTGTAAATATATACATACGACATTTACTGAACTTTTTCAGAACTTCTTTAAGGAGAACTTTTGAACATTCACTCTCATGCTCACGGATTAGCCGTGCAGATAATACAAGTTTCAAAACACAGGTGTTGAGGTGTGTAGCAGTGTACAATAATGACACTATGAAAAACAGAGACACTGAAGATAAATATACACTTTGTGCCTATAACAAAAATATATATATATTTGTAAGGAAAGGTGATGCAATATAAGAAAAACAAACAATGTGTTCTCTGATGACTACATGGTACCAACAACTTTGGATGTGGCTACAAGTAGGACTAATGAATAAAGCTACATGTACGGACTTAAAATTTAAAATTAATATCTATTAAACGCAGCATCTAAAGATAAACAAAACAAAGTCATTCATACCAACTGTAGAGGTGCCTGGGTGGTTGGTTCAAATACTGTGTCAATGAAAACAGCTTTATCATCTAATGTATCACCTTGATCACTAATGTGTTTGAGCCATGATGTAAAACACGTTAACAAAACTTCATAAAGTCCAGTCAAAAGCAATCAATCCACGAGGAGAGCCATCACCTGTTCCGTTGTTCAGGTCGATGTGTGTAATGCTAGTTACTATACTATTTGTCGTTGGAGACACTGAATGGGACTAGCTAATCCTAATGTGTGCACACGCTTCACTGAACACAGTTTCAGGCCTGTCCAGTCTGTCTACCATCAGTATCTGTCTTACTGCTACTTCAAAAACAAAACAAAAACAAAAAGACACCAACCGCAGTCACACATAACACTTAAAACAGGTACGACTGATATTTATAATAACATGTAACATGCCCCCCCTGAAATACAGCACAACAGCACAAAACAGGTCTCTAGTCGGATGCAAGAAGAAAAAGACATAAATCCCTGTGGTGTAACGTTACTGAGGTGCGTGCATGTGTGTCTAGCGTTTCAGTTAACACACAACATGGCATCATTCATTATTTATGAGGTGGTTGTCAGGAGACTTACCAGCAAACTTTCCAGGTTAACGGAGGACCTGGGATTTCTGATCGTTTCCTCCAGCTTTTTCAGCCGGGCTTCCATCCTCCTCTCTGCGCCCAGCGACATGCTTGCGGCGACGGAGATCGGTGTGCTTATGAAGAAAGATTTGAGATACACACGTTTACACCAACTTTGAGTTTACATGTGAACGCTCTTTGTTCGTGGTCGATGGCCGTGGGCCTAGCGGAACAGCCGTGGGATCACAGCCCACCCAACTTGCCTCCGACAAGAGTGCACAATGAAAATATTCCCAAAGCGAACGGAATTCCAGGAAAAAAAAACTTTTCCCAAAGAACCTAGCTTCGCTGAATTGGCGGACTTGAGTTTTTCCAACCGCCGTTACACTTTCATTTCATCACCATGTAAACGGAGGACGTCCTTTTCCAACTATGCGACAAAGTTTGAATTTAGAAACATCGGCAGCGGCAGCAACAGGCAACAGCAGCAGGGCGTTTTCTTGGATCTTTCCCTCTGGGCTTTTGGCCGCTCGGGAAAGCTCAGCACTCTTCTTATCTGAAAAAAGTCCGTTTCCTTTCAGCCCATTTAGTGATGTTAGAAGGCCGTCAGTGCCTTAGTTTGTGCCCAGTGCTGCCAGAAGTCTCGAACGGCGCAACGTCTCTTCTCCCGCGCTCAATTTTTAATAAGCACGCGTTCCCTTCTTTGACTTCGTCTCGCATTTTCGCATCGCTGTCTTTAAATGTACTTTTGTTGACGATGACACGCGCCAAACATGCACAAGTAGAGTCGCAGAGAAAAGCTTTTACAGCAGCCGAATTCCTGTCTGCACACTTGAAGGCTACACATCCGCACAAACACTGAAGTCTGAAGTCCTTTCCCTCCCCCTGTCATCCACGTACTGAACTCACTTTCCCATAAGCCACCTTTGCCGTCCCTAACCTCCGCGGAATCGCCATGTGCCCGCCTAATATTTTAAATCAGTGAACCAGTAAATCATATATTTATAAAAACGTATGTCGTAAACACGTAGTGTAACTATTACAGATATCCCTGGTCTTTTATAAAAGCTATAGCAGGAACAGCAGTGAAAATTGAATGTTTTTACAAACTGCCAGAGGTCTAGAACGATTTTTCGGCCAAAGAGCCCCACATTTATTGACGGTAGAGTCCTTACTAAATAAAATGTATACAGTTTTTAAAAAGTATTATTATTATTATTATAACTGCAATCCTGTACCATTTCTATTGTTCAAGCATACTTTCTGGGTAAATTAACCTGTTTAAAAATATACTACAAATATTATTTTTCATGTTTCCTGTATACCCTTGTATTATTTCTGTCACTCAAATGTTATATAATATCATACATATTTAACTGTGAAAAAATTTCACGGTAAAAAAAATGGAGAGAATAAAATAATAAAAATACAAGTGGAACAGCCCATTAAAAAATATTCCTATTCAGTGTAGGAGGAAAAAATGATAAATAAAGTGAACTCTGTGGGTGCGTGTCTGTGAGATATTTGTGTGGGAGTTTGCATAGTCGAAAGAAACCTGTTTCGAACAACAGAGGGTGCAGTTTGACCACGGATGTTTTCAATGACCTTTCTGTACTTTGACAATAATGTATTATTATAGACTATAGAATTATTTGAATGTGTGTAAGTTGTTTATGATTGAGTCATCTACCTACTGATGCAGCTCAAACATCATTCAGCTGGCAGCGGATGAAACAGTACACGCCGTATGTGCCAAAATCTTTCTTAAAAAAAGAAAAGAAAAAAAAGTTTAGCTTCAAGCACAAACTTTCTGCATTTTACATTAAGCACAAAGTGAAAAAAGGAAAACGTGAAACAACACATTTTTTGTAAAATATTACTTGAATTTGGTGGGGGGTCACTCTCAGTTATCTCTCGTTTCGTTTAGCAGTATTTTTTAGTATTTTTTATAAATATTTTGAACTCCACCTACAAACGTGATTAAGAAAGCATATAATAACTACTATTGTATAGCGTGCCAAATATATATGTATTTATTCATATATACAGCATATATAGGCTACATATCAGCTGTTTTCTTACCAACACATGATTGACCTTCCGTCTTAAGCGCTGAAGTACCGAGAAAAGCCACAAGATGGTGACACAAACCGTCCCAATGTACGTGTTACGTTCTCATTACGTACAAGTAAAGTTATGGCTGGAAGCTCTCAGTTTTAGGTTTAAGAACCTGCTTTATCTGGTTATCTGGTTATTTGTTGGGGTTAATTTTGATGCTAGCTCATATTTGCATGAGACGCTTCGCATCGGTAAGTTTCACGAGACATCACATTTTAAAATCAACGCTTTCATTCTCAGTCTATTTTCTTTGTATTCACCTCTTTTGGTCATAGTTATTATTTTTTAAAGGTTTAACTTAAATGTGCTAAATATGCATATCTACTATTTTAACATATATGTATATTAGGAACTACTTAAGGCAGTAGCCTGTTAAATCTCAACTTCAATTTTCATTTGAGCTGAATAATGTAAAGGCATTTTAGTGAAAAAAGGCAATTTAATGACAGACATCCAAGTTACTAATTAACATCCCTGAACTGTATTGGGCATTTTAGTGAAAAAAAGGCAATTTAATGACAACATAGCAAAAACAAAGCTGAAGGTAACGCTGCACTTTGACTCGATGTCTTATAAGAGACTCACTGATTTGTTGAGTTCTCCAAACTAAACATGAGTTTTCTCTATATTTTATACCAAAACGTTTTTATTTTTTAATTTAAATTATATATATATGTATATATACAATATACAGTACAGTAAAACCACTGTTTTGGCATTTCAGATGTTGACTTCTTATTGTCTATAATTGATATTTTTATTTGTTCTTATTGTCATTCTGTTTTAGTGTCTTTTGACTCATCTAAATGATGAATGTGTTCCCGTTTGTCTGCAGCACTTTAGCCAACTGTGATGTTTCCTCATAAATACAGTTAAGTTCAGTTGGTGTTTTTTTATATAAATGTACACAGATATAAACACACCTGAAACAGAGTTGTGTATTCCTCTTATTTATTCGCCTTCATTAGCAATTCAACAGAAAAAACAAATACTGATACAACACAAAAGATGATTTTTATTCCAAAACAATTTGGCCACCCGTTATATACAGTGTCATAATAAAAAGACAGAAGAACATCTTCTATCAAAGCTTTTTTTTTACCTCCTCCCCTATTTTTTTAAATAATTTTTTAAAAAGCATCTTACTGATCCCGAGGCTTTTGCATTAGACAGAATGTACAGGTTGAACCATCCTGTTTGTTATTTGCAAATTTTAAAAACAAGGTCAACAATAAATAAAAAAAATATGCACAAAATATTGACAGTCCACCACAGGTTAAATGTTAAACAAATCAGATGTTTGGGGATAAAAGGAGGTTCGGAGGATGGTCTAATTTTTAGCAAAAATGTTACAGTTTTTATATGATAGAAGCTGATCATCTTTACACTGACTGTAGCATGATAACACAGTTGTTATTTATGGGGGAGGTTTCTGTGGATTTATGCAACTTCTCTGTTGTTTCTGAAAAGTCATTCTCCTGTCTGTGGACCCGATTAGGTTCTCATTGCATAATTCAGACTGATGCTGAGGCCTGAAGTTCACCCTTAACAATTTCAATGGTGGCGACTGTTCATGTGAGAGTCAGTGTTTTATCAGTATCATCAAACACCAAACGTTTTGTATCAGCAAAACAACAGAGAGCAGACAGGAAACGTGTTGAATGGTCATAATTCAACATGCGGTGATTGATGATGAAGGTCAGGGAAGGTCATAAAAAAACAATTAACCGTAATCTTTATTAACACAAATCTACAAAACAGTCATACGAGACATAAGGTGTCAGTTAGTGATTGTTACAGGTGCTGGTATGTGTTTCCCACCTATGGCGATGATACTGCATCAGAATCATGTCAACTCTTCAATAAACTACAAAAAAAAAAAAAAAGAGCCCACATGGATGGAGGCCATTTACTGTAATGTTACAGCTATGCCTTCACATAACTCTGTCTTTTGGGTATCGGACCTAAGACTCTTTTTCTGGCAGTCTGATCACACAGTTATCAGTTATTCCACTGGGCTGCTAAAAGAATGAACGATGCAACTATAATAGCTGTTCATTCGGTTTGTCTGCATTTAAGAAAAGTCCATCAGCTCATGACACGAGTGAATAAAAACCATGAAATAACATGTCATTTTTAACTGTGTGGCGCACAAACACTTTGCCATTTACAGTCATGGAACTTTCTATTTTAACACTGCGAAGGACTGTCTAATCATTTCAATTATGTTCATCAAATCTGTGTGGACAGCGTGTCCTCGGGTTACAATGTCCTCTACCTACAGCATTTCATGATTACATCGGCCCTTTCCCCTTCATTTATTAGGAACGTCTTGTTCCATCAGTCTGACTTAAACTCACCAACTAGTTCACATGTGATCTACACATGGTTGTTGACCATACATTGGATTGTGCTACATTTACTTTCTTTTGTTTGTGTTGTTTTTTGGGGGAGGTTTTGCCCTACATTTTGGCTACCAGGCGTAAGTCAGACTCTTCTGATATTTTGATGTCCTAGAATATGATGTCACCAATGTGTTAGCGTAGGTTAGTGACACTGGGGTAGGCTGTTGAAATGGAAATCCAACATAAGTCCAGGACCCCCGTATATAACCTTTGTTTATAAACTCAAAGCCTGATCATACAATTTGTAGCAAATTGTTATTGACTAAATGGATTGAGCTTAAGGAGGAAAAAACAAATACATAAAGTGATTCAGTGTCAGCTGGTTGATGGCTAACTTTTTTTTTCCCACTGTTGATGATGGAAATATACAATATTGTATCTGTTTTCATTTTACATCATTCTTAGTTTTTGTGCTTTTTTTAGATTAAAAAAAGTCACTGAATACATCAGTGTAGCTGCTCAATTTATATTACAAAATGTAATGGTTTACAGCAGTAGTTCCCAAACTTTTTTTTGGCCTTTGACCCCATTTTGACATCACAAATGTCTGTCGACCCAAAAGAACCCCTCCTCCTAGAATTAGTTAGTTATTTTAGTTTGTTATACTGTGTTACAAACACACAGTAAGCAGATCAGTACACAACGTGTGTGGTGTTTTTAATCATAATTTTCAAAACAATAATAATTAGTTAAAAATATATTTATATCAGTAATTTTTTGGCCTTTGTTACTAGACATTTCAGGTGACCCCATTTGAAAAACACTAGTGTACAGCATGTAAATCAGTAACTGATGTTATCAAAGGTAAAAGCATTTGCACACAAGTTATTTCCTTTGTTTGTTTGTTTAGTGAAAATGATTGAAGCCACACCAAAGCAGCACCTTGGCAAGTGGTAGGCAGAGCCCAAATGCCTGACTGACAGGCAGCAGATAGAGTTACACACTGCTTATTCTGAGTCAACACTTTGCAATCTTCAATGGGCTCACGGCCTTCACTGTGTGCAGTGTTTGTCTTTGACACCAGTTCATTTTAAGTACACACACACACACACACACACACACATGTGGGCAGAAACCCTTAGAATCACATTTAATAAATAGTGTGATTGAACCAAGGCTGCAGTTGCAAGACAATGTTGTGCTGCACACAACTAAGGTAACATTTTCATGACTGTTTGGGCCAGAACTTCACATTTAGAGTCTATGAAATTATAACATTTTACAGAGGACCCCCCTCCCCCCCCCCAGCAATAACACTGATTTTGACAAACACTACAGCAGTGTTCTATCTTCAATGTTCCTTTCTTTTTTAAATAAGGACTTGTTATTTGGCAATCATAAATGATCCCTTTAAATGAAAACAGGTAGACATGTTTTGCCTCAACACACCAGGGGCCTTTGGCAAACACTAGGACAATACCTTGTTTTGCAGTCAGAAATCTGTACACTAAGTGCTGGCTTTATTTGACAGTGTCCCTACCTCAAACAGATGATATAGGTCCACTGGCATTTTTTTTCTTTTCTTCTTCTTCTTTTTTTTTTCTTTTTCTTTTTTAAACTCCCACCAAAACTGTACAAATAGTTGAGAGCAACCCTGAAATAAAACAGTTCTGTCTTTAGATTTGGCCCAAATAAATACAACCGTGGCGACTTGGCAAAGGTGAGAATACTTATCAAATCGTGTTGGAAACAAATGTGGATATCGTTGAAACATTCCTGCAGCGTTGCGTCTGCTCTAGACCCCAGATGAATTATTCATGAAGACGTTGGTATCTCTTTGCCCCCTTTAAATTTAGTACAACCTGTCGCAAACTAACTCTTGACAGGGATATCACCGGTAATGGGTTATAGAAAAGATTAAGTGTTCGCCTGCAGCAGCAAGTGCTTATTACAGGTTGGCAGAGTTTCAACATTGCCATACCCATCTTTCATATGGTAGTACTGAGGTGTATTTTCTAACCAACAACAGAACTGTTTGTGAACACAGGCCGAGAGAAAGAGCGAAATGACAACATACTGTGCTACAATAATACCACATATGCAAATCGGGTGAGGTTTATGAGCAGACAAAATAAATGGTGCAAGAAAATGGCTGAAGGTTAGTCATTTATACTCCTGTGTACTGATTCAGCGATAACCCAATGCACTGTTGTGCATTATGTTCTGAGACAGTTTGCCAGAGAAAGCAGCTCATCACTTTGTCCACGCATCATACTGCATTTGTTACTGTATATGTGTGTGTTCGTACCCTTTTTTTTCACAACCCACCAAGAAGACTCAGTTTTAAGGTTTTTCTTGATCCAGCAAAAAAAATAGAGAGTGAAGAGTGTGGGTTGTTTTTCATAGTCATATAACAAATTAAAAAAAACTCGAAACCTTTGCAATTTAATGGGAAACCACATGTAGCAAAGCCTTAAGATTGTACCTGCTGCGTTGAAAAGTCTAGGACCTACAGTACACAGGAGCTCAGAAGAAACTTTCCCATCTGATGCTGTGACTATCAGACACTGGAGTGTGTACAACCGTAAGAGACAGTACAACAGGAGTGTGTAAGGTATGAGCAGAAGAGTGTGCTGAGAAACAAATTCACAACCTGCATTGGAGAGGTCCAGCTGGACACCAAGTCGGTAGAAGTTCAGTATCATCACAAAGGTGGAAGGAGTCCGGTTTGCTCTGGTATAATACACATCAACATGTCTGGTTGGACACTCATCCGTCGCTGAAGGCGATTTGTGCTGCTGGTAGAAATGACCGAGAGTGGGGGCAAAAGACAAATATGTGTGTGTGTGTGTGCAGGTGTGTCTGCACGTGAGCTTGTGCACTTGTGTAGTTGGTTGGGAGAGGTTGGATTTGGGGGTGGGGTTGGATGAAGTGTCACTGATGGCACTGCATCCATCAGAGCATCCATCTGTGAAACAGAGTGGGAGGAGAACTAGCGTGAGTCAATGTGAGAGAAAATATCCCACTCAAACACACACACACACGTGCGTGCACACACATCGTCCCCAGAGTCGAGGTGAAGACTGAAATGGAGGTTGTGTAGAATAAAAGCTATGAAGGTTATGTTTTCATTTTCTTGCAGGAAATATTCTGCACAAAAATATGTAAAAGGGTGAATCAGTAAAGCTTAAAATAAAAGCTTTTCCTGGTCAAAGTAATACATGCACTATACATACACTAACTATGACACTTGTGCATCACAACATTGCAACATCCAAATACAGGAGGTCCTCGGTTTATAACGTCCTTGACCTACAGGGTTTTGTGGTTACATCGCCATCTCCCTTATATTTATTAAGAAAGTCTTGTTTCGTCATTCCGACTTACATTGTCACATGGTGATATACACTGAAGATGGCTTTGTTTACCACTGTGTTAGCATAGGTGCGAGACATAGGTACTTTGGTATGGTATGTGAGTTCTAACTTTTGGTGAGAATCGTGTTATGTCGCGCTATAGGAACGGAATTCTGATGTAAGTCGAGGACCCTTTGTACAGGAGAGGCCTAAAGTGATTCTTCTTCTTTTTTTTTTTTTTTTTGCTGCTTCACTACACCTGTTCACTGTATCGTACCTAACGCTAAAGTTGATACCTGTGTGCCCTATACAAAATGAGAGGAAATAAGGGACAAATATAAAGCTCCTATATTGCAAATATCTGACCAACCATTGTGGTTTGAATCTTCAAAATACAGTATGGAATGACTTTTGTGAATGAACACCTACCCTATTTGTTTTGATTGCGTATTCGCAGACACCTCCTCTTCAGCGGTGGCTCTAACTCAGGGCTCCCAGCAGCTGATACAGGAGTGCTGATGGAACAGGACAGGATGGCTGTTTTGTCAGTGCTAGACTTTGGCACAGGTTGGATGACCACACACCCCCCGGCTGACATAAGTGGCAGGGCATAGGCATGCTCACCCTCCTCCAAGTTGGAATCAGGGTCTGGCTTCCCCATGACCGAGTTTGTCATCTCTTCTTGTCCTAAGCCCGCTTTCCCCGGCTCCCAGTCTCCGATATAACAATTGTTCTCCTTCAGTGCCTCATGCTCAAGCTCCCCGTCGTTTGGCTGCTTAAGAACTTCTTCCTCTGCCACAACCCTGTCTCCTTTTTGGCCAGTGTAGCTATTAGTGGCAGGAGTGAGAAGTGAATGCCATCCAGTACCATTGACAATGACATTACATGGAGTGCCAGGGTTGGGTTGGAGTTGGGTAAAGGATTGGGGCGTGGTCCTTTCAGGGCTGGATAGGTGCGATAGGGCAAAGCTAGAAAAGGACGTATTAAGTTGGCTTCCTGGTGGGTCGCCATTGCAACAAGGGCTGTTGATGCTTGAGGGTGGGCTAGATGATGACAGCGTCCTTGGGTGTGTGGCTCCTTCTAGCAGCAGAGGACTGCAGCGATCCTGTGAGGGTCCTGCTCCCCCCTCCTCATGTCTCTCATTTCCTTCCCTGCTGCACATTGCAGCTGGTGATGACCTTACATTGCAGCTGGTGATGACCTTGTTTCAGCTTCTTCTTCCACTTTGACCTGGACCTCAAGTGGCCTTCTCTGAATAACCTGATGCTGACATGACCTGTGGCCCACAGTCAGATCAATGACACCGTCTATAGGCCCAGGGCTGCTGGTTAGACACAGGTTGCTCATAGCGTCCTCTGACTTTAAGTCTCTCAGAGCTGTCCTGCTTGTCTCTGAACACACAGGTAAAGGCTGCTCACTTTGTGATGGCTCAACCTTTTGCTCCACTTTGTCACTTCTAGAGGGACCCGGAGAGAGTGGTCCAGAAGCCGAAGTCTCTGGACCTCTGTGAAGAGATATATTGCTCTTGGATTGGTCTCCAAATGTTTTGGGGTTCAGAGGGATTGGAATTGGAATGGGAATCGGAACTGGGAGGGGTACAATGACAGGGTAAGGCACCAACATGGTTGGTGGTGGTACTAATGGGGTCAGGGAAGGCATGCCAAAGTTCATCATTGGAGGAAAGGGAATGTGTCCACTAGGAATTATGTTGACTGGTGGGAAAGGGGGCAGTCCTGGCATAGGGAGGCCAGGGTGAGGAGGCATCATGGCAGGGTTATGATTGGATGAAGGATGGACATGGGGGGACAGTAGGGGTCTGTGCATAGGACCTGGGGTTGGACCAAGAGACCTTGGAGGTGGTGGGGGACCAATACCAGGGATGATAGGGTTTGAAAGTGGGCTGTTTGCACCTGCAGGGTGGGCAGAAGGGCGGAGATATGGTGGACGCATTTGATGCATCATTTGATGCTCCATGAATAGAGGGAGAGGCATGGGCCCTCGTGATGTCATTACCATTGGAGGACTACCAGAGGGAACTCCAACTGGTGGGTGCAAAGTAGAAATGGGCGGAGCTTGCATTGAGGAACTCTCATGTGGTCTGGGTGTGGGAATCTTTGCTGAAGAGGAGGAGGAGGGGGAGCAGACTGCAACCGAGTCTGGAGGTGAGGTGGCAGAAGAAGTGGTGGAAGGCCCGCAAGGTGAGGGAGCTTTACGACGCAGGTCTGCTAAGGGTGTTCCCCAGGATTCTGGAGTGAGCAGTTGTACTGCACCACCGCAGTCCGACTTACCCTCGCCACCTGGCCCGTGCCCTGGGTTACACAGTGCACCAGGCAGCGCAGCCTGGGTCTCCTTGTAGAAAATGTCCATCTTGTACTGGTTGAGACACTTGGCACTGCAGAACTGCAGCCTCCGCTCACCAGCCCCAAAGTCCAGGTACTCCTTAGTGTGGCGAATGTGCTTACACCAATCGCACACCTACAACAAAAACAAACACAACACACACAGAGAATTAGCCTCTGCCGTGATCTGCACAGAAGCCTTTAGTCTGTTGATGGTAAAATTGGACATTGACAAACAGCGAAAAAGAGTAGGGTCAACTTAATTCAACAATTTTAAAAGAGAAAACAAATCACATGATTGTGACTCCTGGAAAAAACATTGCTTAACTGTTGACTCTATAAAATACAGGAGCTAAAGACCTCCAGTTCTCCCCCGATCTCTCACTGTTGACTCTATAAAATACAGGAGCTTCACTACGTTTTGTAAGTGTAGGCTGTAAAGACCTCAAGTTCTCCCCAGATCTCTTTACTGAACATTTTTGGGCTCAGTTACTCACACAACCCTGAGGGATAAGTAAAAAAAAAAAAGCATAAAACGATCAACAGTAATAACATGATATGATAATTAAGAGGTAAATACAAGAGGTTGTCGGTTTACCACGTGAATTGGATTGTGCTACATTTGCTTTCTGTTGTTTGTGTTGTTTTTTGTTGATTTTTTCTGCAAAAAAACAAAAACATACCTTAAATTGGTCTGTTGTGGCAGAGAAGCCTGAAGGTGGAACCTGCCCTGTGTTGTACTTTTCTGAGGTATAATAAAACAATAAACAAAAAGTAAATCCTTCCTAATAATTCTCTGTGTCTTATTTGGTATTCTGCTGTTGAATCACTTCATTAACTCTTGGACCAGTGCCTTAAATGTTCATCTTTTTCATTATGATTAATTCAGCAACGGGTGACTTTGTTCTCCTTCGGATCATACTGTATTTCAGCATGATAAAAATATATTTTCTTAAATTATCCGATGAGTGCTTCTTCAATTTTTATCACAGTTGGAATAATTTCAAATAAGCCTTATATAATTATTTTCTTTTCCTATTAAATGTATTTCTCTGACAGAATCGGGGTTTTTTTTCCATCTTGTTAAAATTCTGAAATGTCAAAGACTTAAAATGCAACGGTGTTCACGTTAATCGCTGCTGTGTGACAGTTCCCAAAACAACTGGCTGTACTGTTGCTCGCCTTTTCAGCACAGAAATGCTTATTTTTCTTATGGAATAAAATGAATGTGACCCTGGCACAGCAGATAGCAGTGGGTGAGCCCTGAACATGACGATACTTGTCAGGCCACACACAGCTCACTCTGTCAGCTCTGGGAGGAGTATCTGGTCCTGGCTGAAAATAATTAAGGCATTAATCAGTTGTCATCCTCCTCCGCGACATCCATCCATCACACAGACCTTTAAGCCCCCCCACTGAATGTTAATAAGTTGAGGGATGCAACCAGAAGGTAGATAAACTACTCTTTGTGCACTGTGTAGCAACGTTGGTGCAGTTGGCAGAGAACTGCCTGGCACGGGCTGAGAGACAGCAGATGAACACAGTCTGGTTAAGAAGACGCACAAGGACAGGATTCGAAAAGAATGATTAGCACCATGTCCTGCATGCTACAGCATCTCTTCTTTATGTGTGGTTCTTTATTTTAGACTTTTTTTGTTCAAGGGTGTGGCTATAAGAGATGCTGGTGGAGGAGCTGTGTCAGAATTTGCTATGTGCCTTTGTTTACGCAGGCAAATTACGGCCCGTGGGCCAGATTTGGCCTGTTGGGCTTTCTAATCGGGTCCGCCAAACACTGGTACAAGGTCTGCTACAGATTGATGTCAATCCTTCTGTTTCATGAAATTACAATTATATTTTTAGGTTTATTCCTGTACATTTTATTAATATTATTTCCTGTTGTTTTGGCCCAGAGTCAGTGTCTCTGTCATTGGTGTGGAACCCCAGGGTTCACCTCCTGGGAAAGATTGAATCCCAGTTAGGGAGGTTGGTACCTTCCAGTGGACTCACCACCCACAGGAAGGTTTACAAGGGGATGGTGCGGTGCAGTGTGATTTTCCTAGCGGTCATGAAGACTGCTGCCCCTGCGACATGGTAATGAATAAGCGGACGGAGATGGATGGATGGATTTTTATATTTCCCTCAGCATTCTGCAATCAATATTGATCTGGCCAAAATGTTTGCCCACCCCTGATGTAGTCTAAGGTTTGCAGTTAAGGCCAAAGGGATCTCTAACTGAAATCCAGGGCAGGGTAGACCCACTGAGACCCTTTTCCAGGTGTAAAAGCAAGTGTAACAACATTTTGACACTGACAAAAAAACACTGACATCTGACAAAATAACAAAATAATGTGTTTCACACACTGTACGTCATTGAAGCCAACTTGCTGAGTAACTTCTGTGTGTAACAATGTAAAACTAAAAGTCAGAAGTAAAAAGCTGTAACTGCTGTAATTGTGATGGTCATATTTTCATACGTCCATGGTGGCAGCCATGTTTTTAAGGGTCTCAACATGGTTCCTGTTGATGTCAGCTGACCGCTAATGTCCAAAGGTCAAGACTGACAAGAATGTGACTTTACCTCGAGCAATCGTTTAAATCAGATGAAACTTCCCAGAGTGAATGAGCCATGACTGAGTAAAAGTCAAAATGGTTCTCAGACGACTAGGGAACAGTGACGATGGGAAGGGGAATTTTTAAATAATAAATTTGTTGAAATTGTCTTGGAAACAGAAAGACAGATGGAGGGGCACTTAACGACTTTCTGCACTGTGAGTGAAATTTCACATTACGCTAATGGAGTTGTGCTTTCTGCCTGACTGTTGGTCTCTCTTCCCTCCTGCACACAGATGTTGTTCAGTGAGGTTCAGTGTAATTATGGTCATTTATTTCCATCGTTGTCAATGAACTAGCTTCGGTGGTGCGTTTGAACTCTTACAACAATTATCGAGCTTCCATATAAGTGCAATCAGCTCAGCGGCCATTCTTCCCCTCCTGCTCCAAACACCTAAAGACAATTGTGATGTCGGCAGGAAAACTCAACAATTTGGGATTAAGCGTGGGCTTTTTTGTCCGTGTTAAAAGCAAAAAAAAAAAAAAAAAGAACAGATGACGTTTGGTTAAAAAATGATTAAGGACGATCTTTGGGGTTAGGGTCGAGTGTTTTTCAACCCTGGGGTCGCAACCTCACTTTAGGTCGCCTGGTTTTTAAGAGGAATTGAATTAAATGTCTAGTGATTAATAAAAAATACTGAAACATTTTTTCAACTAAGTATTATTTATCTTACTGATTATCTGTTACCAGGTCGTGGGGGCAGCAGTCTCCATGACCACCACCCAAATCACACTGCACCGCACCAACCCCCCCTTAAACCTTCCTGTGGGTGGTGAGTCCACTGGAAGGTACCAACCACCCTAACAGGGATTTGAACTTTCCCAGGAGGTGAACCCTGGGGTTCCACACCAATGACAGAGACATTACCTCTGGGCCAAAGCGCCACTCTAATTATTATTCTTTTTAATATTATGATTAAAAACACCACAGAAAATCTTAAACAACTGTCTTCTCCTGTTGCTGACATGGTTCAACTTCCTGGCCTGAACTGTGAACCTGATTTGATGTGACATTGTTATTTCTTGTTATAAGTTCTAGTCCATTTAAGATCTGCCCACTGGAGATGGTTTATCAATAATGCACCATCTGCAGCACATGTTATCATCACTGTGATTTGACTTTAGCCAACAGCTCGCTTATTTATTTAATATCTGTGGTAACAATTAAAACAAAGTAGGAAATGTGGTTTTGATTCCTCCCAGAGTGTCACCATGGACACTGTATCTCTGACTCCATCACCTGAAACCAGGGAAGATTTCAGCTGCAGATGAAAGCTACGGAGCAGCTGCCCCCACAGGTCCACTCTTATCAAGCCAGTCATCATCATCTGTCACTGGGAAGGTGACACACAAAGGCCGTGCTGGCCTGGCCAGGTAATACACCACTGTACTATATTTCACAGCACACGCTATCTCATACATTGAGTAATATATAAATCCATTTCTAAGATTGATGGGACAGATCTGCCCAGTT